ATTCGTATCTTCAAAAAAATTTAATAAGATTTATATCGCACTGTAAATTAATTAGCTGGTTGGGTCCCCCTCCTTTGCGTACGAGGAGACATCGATGAACCTAGTGAACTACTTAGGACTTATCGCTGAGTTCAGAACAGCTTAAGACGTAGACTCGAGAAGGGTTAAATTACCCTTTTATTCCCCTAAATAAGAATAACAGTCGGCCCCGTCTCGGGCTTATAGGAAAGCCTCTACTCGGGCTTTAACTCAGAATAAGAAATAAGAACTAAACTAAAATTAACTAAACGATATATTTATATATTTTTCATCTTTTGCATACATACAAACACACACACACATATATATAGGTTACATTTATAATAATGAAGTCCTAATTTTCAAAATTTTCGAAATAATTTTGACTGGAAAATATACATTTGTGTACTAAAATTCCGACAGTATACTAATGTAGACTAAAATCTACATTAGTATAATATATACGAAGTGTTCTCTATTTTATTTCACAAAATTAATAAAATTTTCTTCATTTATACATTGAAACTTAGTCTAAGCAAGGAAAAAAATTTCCATATAAAAATCAATATCAGTCATGAAATTCTTGCTTTGATGTCAACTATTTTACATGACGTTTATAATTCATTACTTTTGGTAGCAATACATATCGAAATATATTCATAGAGAGGTATTATTTTCAAAAGGTAAAGCGAGAAAATTATTTAATTAAATTATTTTTTACTGACCTAGGCGTATAATCCATTTCAAATTTCAACTAAAACAAAGCAATGATGATACTTTTCATTTACGGAAGACTAAATCTTAATGTGCAACCTTTTTACTTCCTTGTCCGAAGAAAAAATTATAAAATCGCGAAAGTTTCAGGCAGCATATTTCAACGAAAATCCATTTGATCGCTATCGTGCAATTATTTAACGATTTTTTGCGTGATATCGTACGTAAGGACAAAAAAAAAGACTCTTTTCCTCCAAAAAATAAAACTGCTTTAAAATTAATCTGAGAGAATTTTTCGTGGCGCCGGTACGAGCGTATTACGACGTACGTACTTATCTCGCATAACTCAAAAAAGAATAGCCATCAGAGCGTTGAAATTTTGTGTATATAACTGCTATAACATACAGATGTGCAACTCGTATTTTTGGTTGCAATCGGCCGCCACAAACGTTATAAATATATTATATATATTCAGTCTGCTACAGGCTCATGATCTCAGTTTCTTTTACCTTATATGTTTGTCAATTGTACTTTTTTGCTTAAAAATGATTGAATTATGTTGCTCTTATCTTCCGGTTAAGGTTTTTTATGCCTTTAGTAAATCTGTATGCAAAGTTTGACAAATTACAAAATTTCAAAGCTGTTTTAGTGCCGCTAAGCCTAATAATTTTTTTGAGGGCGGCATTGCTTGTTTAATTTGAAACAGCCAAGGAGGTTAGCATAGATAACCTCCTATTTACCTCCTTGGAAACGCAACTAATGGATTTGTTGCAATGAGAAACTTAGTCCACAACAAAGATAACGCCTTCATTTATGATGGAATTAATCATCGAATCCTTTGTGGATTTTTCGAGATAAGTGTTTAAGATTTTACTTCGCAATTTTTAATCCATTATTTTGAGTTTTTATGTATTTTTGCCTTCGCGAAGTGAGAACTGAATTAAGTGAATGAGAAATACTCAATCGTAGTGAAAAACTGTTGAACTTTTGTTTGCTTAATTTCTTTTATACATCGTTCTAGATTTATTATAAATTTGAATAGAACATGTGGCAAACGATTAGATATTCTTTAAATTATATAAATTTTGTGCATAATATGAACGAAATATAATACTGTTAAATGAATCTAGCGCCAGAGTGTCGCTATGGTAAACAAATAGACAAATAGAGTGAATTTTAGAGAATGCATTTATTCTATTGTGGTTTATGCGCTGTCGGCGAAGTAGATTTAATTCAATCCAATAAGTGTAAATGAAATGCAAGAAAAAATGCGTATAATTTAATATTCCGTACAAGTCATGTGGTGTACACATCAGATTTTTTTATTGTTATTGCATGAAAATTAAACGAGAAATTAATGTTTATTTGCGTAATGCGAACCTGCCATTTTGCCCCCAACTAAAATCAAATTAAGGCATTAAATGTTTTTCCCAAAACAAAAATAAAATTAACACAGCAATAACATTCTGAATTGCGGCGCTCACCAGTTATTTAAAGGGGTGGGGAAGTAAATAAATAAATTACGAAAAATTTCATTTTATTTGATCTTTTACGAGAAACAAACGATCCAGTTAACTGGGATTTCGTATTATTGGGTCTAGATGATTAAATTTCTACAAGAAAAGTGATAGTAAAGCTATCACTCAGATCCTTACATTCAACCGTTTGAAAAACCTTCCTAAAATGTTTATCGATTAAAATTGCCTTGTAATTATTTTAACTAATATGGATATAGCATAAATTTTGATTTCTTGAAATATCACAGACATGTCAACGACTGCAGTGAAGAATCAGTTTTATATAAAGAAAAAGGAAGGCTGAGAAATTTTAAACTATTAATAAATTGAAGCATCAATTTGAATGTGATAAAAAAACACTTTTGGTCTAAAACTGGTGGCCCGCAGGCCTCATGCGGCCCGGAAGCAATATTACACTTCGAGGCCGCATGAATAAAATATATTTCAGTTATGCATTTGTTGTATACATGGTTCTTATAGCTTTACAGACGTAGGAGCTTATAGCTTTAGCTTATAGTTCTTCTTATAGCTTTACAGAGCAGCAAAACAGTTATTAAAAGAAAAAAAGATAAGTTCTTTGTCTTTTCGGTGTATTCGTTCACGCTAGGCCAGGTGATTGATTGTGGTACGTGTCAAGCTGAAACAAGAAAATAAGAAGTTTACAATTATTTACATACAAAGATATGTATTTTTGCTGTATATGTCGAAGAATTTATAAGGAACATAGGTACTTATTATTTATTCTCAAGTTTTGTTCCACTTGAAAAGTTTTCAAAATTTTTTTATTTTTATTTTACGTAAGTTATTTCGTGGTTAAATCAACATATTAGAACTACCTGAAATAAATGTCAGTTTGAAAATTATATTTAGTTTGAATTACGAAGTGTAACCAAACGAAATTTCTTGCAGATACCAATAAACCTTTAGATAAACAAATACAATTTTTCGCCTTTGTTCTGATAAAACATTTCATAAATGAATGGGCATCTAAAAATTTTAAGAAAGGAAAATTCAATCGAAAGAAAGAGCCTCATAATTTTAGCCTCCTTCAGAAGAAAAGTGCAGTTTAGAAACATAAAAGGTAAATTGGGAGAAACACATTGTAGAAAATAAAATTAAACATAATAAGAATAAAAAAAAAAATTATTTAAACAAAGTTCCAGAAAGTTAAAATTTTAAAAGCAAAATTAGAACATATTTTAAACTCACACTCAATACCCCACAAATACGTAGCAAAGGAATTCTTATATCAAGAATAAGTACGAAGCAATATACAGAACTGGATGTAGACTTGATAAGGTCCTAAGCGATTTCAGATATACGGCCCTTTATAAGTCTGTTATGCTATATTTTAATTTTTTTTGGGGGGGGGCTAGGCTATAGCTTGTGTAGCTTACGCCTAAATCTTGCTCTCCATATATTGCCGCAATATATGTATATATATATATATTATATATATATATATATATATATATATAGCTCATAGCGGCCGAGCGGTAAAGACGCTGAACACTGGTAGTTCGGTCCGAGGTTCGAATCCCGCGAACGAGCTGGCTGCTTGGGCGTTTTCGTGGTTTTCCCCATATGTAACGCGTATACGAGCCAGTTTCCCTTAGAAAGTCCTCCACGAAGGCATCCCTCCCTTTAGGCAGATAGCCCTCGTGTGCTTTGCCGTAATTGAATAATCCAATCTATATATATATACAATTAGAAAAAAAAATGTAGCTCGTCAGCTGCTATCATCAGTTCATGCTTTCGACCCGCATGCGATTTGAACTTGATTTCACTACTTGAGGAGACAAAAGTTTGAGATTTTTCTGGAACGTTCTAAACTGGCAGCGGGAAGCTTTCAAGTATGAATTTCGCGCCCGAACAAATTTAATTTTTCCTTATTATGAATTACCCGGTACGTCATCGCTTTGAATATTGTATTTTGCCAATGACATTAAGTTACGGAGTACCTATGGTTCAAAACCATGTACCTCCACATCAGAAAAATATCTAAATAGCGAGCAGAAATAGGAAAATTGAATAATCGGTTATCATGATGCACACTAGAGGGAGCTCCATCAGCTCGAGAAAGTTGAGGGATAGGAAAAATCAAGTTTTCATTTTTTTTGGAAGTTTAATGATTTAAAACTTTTTTTGGTTATTTTTAAATATATATATATATATATAATATTTTTAATAACACATAAATACGACACTAAAGCAAAAAACGGAAAGGAAAGATTTTACAAATTAATAGGCTCATTGGCATATGGCACAAATGATAGTTAAGATTAAATTGTCGCGACGAAACATCCAGAGACCGAGCTCTTAGCGCCAGCTATTGGAAGTTCCCTCACATATATGCTAGGTAAGTAGTATCACAAATCATAACAGAACGTACGAGAAGTTAAGAAGTGCGTTAAAATTGCAAAGTTTAAAATTTTAAAAATAATAAAACCAATATTTAATTCATAAAGAAGTGCAACTTATCTGAACATGCTACTAAATATTCACTATTGAACAGCAAAAGTTTCAAGTTAACGAAGCGAGAAACGAATGTAAATACTGAACACTTTCTAGATTCGCAATGACGTCACAAAATGTATCCATGCGCGCTGGAAGCGGGACTTTCCCTTCCAGAGGAGGAGCTGTGCTCTGTAGGAGAGGTTTTGTTTTCGATGCGCTCTGTGTAGGATTGGTGCGTTATCATTGTGACGTTTTGTTGGTAGTGCGTAAGTAAGTCATGAAAAAAAAAAAAAAAAAAAAAAAAAAAGCCCTCATTTGGATAATATTTGAATTTGTTGGCTGTTTAATTCAATTTGACTTAAAAAATTATTAGTTATGTACTGTTTTTAAATAACATCGTATGCTCTCTGTGAGTCTTTTCTGTGTAAGGAGCAAGCAGGCGTGACAGGTGTCAAACATTCATTGCTACTTTCCTATTTTATTAACACATGTCCAGGTAGATACCGAATCTCCCTGCTTATAATTTTCAGCATCTTTTTAAAGTGTTTTTAATAACTTGCTTCTCTATTTTTAAGACTAAGGAAACCGTTTCTGAGCAGTAAATGAAATTTCTCGAAATTAATGAAACTGAAATTCTCTAAATCCATTCTCTAGTCATGGTAATTTTCACCATAAAGTTTCTTATTAAATTTTATTTGAACTGAAATATTATATTCTACTGTAGATATATGTAGAACCTTAAAAAGGTTTGTATTTAATATTGTTTTATTTGTATTGTTAATATTTTATATTTGGTACATTACTAAATTTATCCACGAAAGATAATGTATATAAAGTATTAATTTCATGATAATGTACATAAAGTATTAATTTCATAGTATTTAAATTTACTTTGATAAATAAAAGCTGTTATCTGTATTCGGGATTTTCTCAATAAAAGCTGGAGGAAAGTACAAAAGTTAGCCAGAGGTCATGAAATGTAGAGTATCTAATTGAATGTTAATACTATATCTAATTGAATATCTAATTGAATGTTAATAGTTCAGTAACTTGAATCATATGTGAATTTACTGTGCTAATATCCTTTGATACATCTCCTTACTGATACTCCTCCTCCTAGTGCTTATTGATACTTATTGATACTCCTCCTCCTAGTGCTTATTGATACTTATTGATACTCCTCCTCCTAGTGCATCTTCGGTATCTTCCAGTTTTTCATACTTGAAAGTTCGCTGCTAAGTTAATAAATCCAGCTGTTTTTACTTGTACAGTAAACTTCCACACTAGTTTGCATGCTGTTTTCACTCTTGTTAATGATTTTTAGCCCAAAGGGCTGTTAGTCTCAAAGTCTCAAAACGGTATTTTGTGTCGTTCCACTTACTGCGTTGGTTCACTTTTCAAACTGTTGCCACAAAATACTATCGCCATGTATTATATTTAAATAATGAATAATCTCCCTGAATGCATAAATGTTTCTCGCACTGTGAAAAACAACGGTACCTAGAGCCACCAAATTTTGAATAACGTAGTCTTCCAACCGAACAAGGGCACTTGGAAGCCAGAATTTTGAATTTCGAATTTATTTTCTATTTCAGATTTTATTTCAGAATTTATTTTCTATTTAGAACGAATTTTGGCATAACAAACTCAACTATTTCAAAGCGAGCAATGACAACATTGTGCGGGGGTGAGGGTTTTTTTTTTTTTTTTTTTTTTTTTTTATCATGCGCGATACTGTGTTTAAGAAATTCTGATGGTATGCTGGTTTTAAATATTTTGAGATACTACTGTTGAAATGAATGTAATGTTTAAGTGCGAAAACCGTGAAATTTAATAAATAAATAAAGTTATAAGGTATTTTTCCCGTCTTCCTAGCGTGCCTTCGTGGTGTAGTGGTCAGTACACTGAGCCGGTATTTCAGAGGTCCGTGGTTCGATTCCCGGCGAAGACACTGTTAATTTTTTATCTTTCCTGCTTCCAAAAAAAATCCTAATGTCTCTACAGTGGCGCCCGAACTAAAAGGGTGTTGTTGGATGATGATTCTCCTCACCCGAGATTTGGCGATTGGGTCCATTAAAAGCCCCAGTCGCCCGTTAAACGAGAGAGTATATAAAATATTTCTCCCGCTTTCCTAGCATGCCTTCGTGGTGTAGTGGTCAGCACACCGAGCCGGTATTTCGTACGTCCTAGGTTCGATTCCCGGCGAAGGCGCTGTTAAATTTTCACTTTCCTGCTTCTAAAAAAATCCCAATGTCTCTACAAAGATAACACACAAAACGTTAAAAAAAGTTTTTTTCGGCGTAAAAGAAATTTTTTTCCCATTTTTTTCTTTGGCTCTAGTGTGAAATTGGGTGCCTCTTCGATTAGCGACAAATTTTCCTCAATTTTGGCGATGAAACCCCATTTCTAGTTTCCATAATAGTTTAAGGTGGACAAAGTTAAGGCAGTGCGCAATGCCTAGTTTGTGCAGTTCTCTGATGTTTTTTGAAGTGAAAAAAAGATTGATGTTTAACATGGACGCCGAGTTTGTGCAATTCTTTGACTTCTTATTTTGGTTTTGTGTAGCAGCTATCTTGATATTTATGCCTTCCTGGCATCAATCTGTCCGTCAGAAAACAATCATCTTGATATTATGCCTTCCTGGCATCAATCTGTCCGTCAGAAAACAATCCCCAAAAAACAAGGGGCACAAAATTGTAAACTTTTATCCTTTCTTTTTCCTTAAAAAAGGGACAGGGTGAAATTCATTTTGCTCAGATAATATCTTCTAGTATTTCTTTTTCCGTGTAAAAGTGCTAAAAGAACAAAAGAGCATTAAAGAACAAAAAATGTATTATTACGTCAGGTATAAATATTCATTGATATCATAATTCAGATTAATACCAGAGTTGTTTTAATGAATGAATGCTGATGACCATATTATTGCGTTCCCTGAATATTTTAGAATAAGTCTTTTCTGAGAGCACTGTACGTGAGCAGTTGTGGCAAAGCTGGCGGGGTTTAGAGAAAAGCTAAAGTGTTCAGCATTTCTAGATTATAAGCCAATTCAAAGGGAAATTGGTCACTATTTTTGCAAAATATGAGAAAGATGAGCAATTTTCAGGTAGCTCTGTTATCCTCGGAACGTCGTCAGTATGTTTTATCCTTCTGGCTGGTTGATAATTGCCACATTTTTAAAAATGCTGTTATTTCTATTACTCTCGTAACAAGTTTTAAAGACAATTAATATTTTAAGATTTTTTTTAAACTTTTAAAATTTGCTGTGTAAAGGAATGTTAGCGGGAGTGTAATCCTATTCTATGAACAGTATCAAGGTGCTTATTATTATTTTTTTTAATATAGCAGAAAATATTTGTAAAATGAATTTTCCAGAAATATGTTTTAGCATTTCATTTTTTCTGATTGAAAAACGTTTGTGTATTATTAATAGAACCTGGTATTAATTGAGTTTTACTAAAATTTTTAGTAAATATTTCATAAAATAGTTTAAATATGGGTGTGGTGACGCAAATATAGTTTCAGGTTTAAAAATATATTGTAGCTCGAACAATATGAAGTTATAATGTTTTTTTGTATCGTAATTTTTATTTAACATTGTATAATGTTGTATCTTAAGGCGATGGTCTCAAACTCTCACGCGAAGGTATTTATTAAGTCGCAAAAACGGTGTTGGAAAGATACCAAGATTTTATTCAACAGTTATTTGAAATCCGAGTTTACGTTATTTTCATGACCGTAAGAAATGAGCATGAATAACGAACCAGAAAATCTAAAAATGTTAATATATGGTCTGATATAAATGTAATTAATTAACAGTCGAATGTAAATGGTACATGAAGATCTACAGATTTTAATTGACTTTTTTAGTACTTTTCAAAAAATCAATATGCCCAGTCACGAATTTTTGCACTAAGAATAACTCTTTGTTTGGGAGTACAAACAGCTTTTATTCAGCGTTGAAAATTATTTACCAGTCGGATATAAATGCTACTCGAAGACCTGGAGTTTATTCCTACTTGTCAAAAAATCAATATGTCCGGTTATGAATTTTTGCGCTAAGAATAATCGCAGTTACAGAAATCGTTAAAAAAAATAAAAAAACAGTGTACTTTTCACGAGTACAAACAGCTTTTATTCAGCGTTGAAAAATTATTTACCAGTCGGATATAAATGCTACTCGAAGACCTGGAGTTTATTCCTACTTGTCAAGAAATCAATATGTCCGGTTATGAATTTTTGCGCTAAGAATAATCGCAGTTACAGAAATAGTTAAAAAAATCTTTTCACAGAAGTCGCTTTTCAGTAAAAGGTATTTTTTAACAGTAATTTTGAATGGCCATATTGCGGTCATCTTTACACGCCGTTAATGCGTTCATAAATTATAAATTACAGAGACAATATGTCAGAATAAATAGCTACTGAATTATCATTTTCCTTAGCATGACATAACGAAATTTCAAAACACCAAATCGATGTCTCACATTTGTCACGCCAATAAATCGGTAATTTATGTGCTCTATAAAATAATGTTTTATAGCGCAGTAAAATTTGTATCCACATTAGTTTCGATTTTGCTAAAATGAGTTCAAATTAATTTTGTAGTTTCTTTATAGTTATGCAGGCGTTATTTAAACATTTACATAGCGTCATCTAGACATAGATTAGTTTTATTGTAATAAGGTTTAAATTTTTTTGTAATAAGTTTCCTGTAATATTTTTGAAATGTAATTTATTTCATCTGATATATGTGTAACATTACATTCAGTTTGCAATATAGTAAGAAATGATGTAATTTATTTGCAACCACTGAACAGTGTCATGAATGACGAATTTTAAAGTTGTGAGACCAGTAGAATACATATTCTGCATTCGGTTGAATTTTTATCTTTGCTGGAGACATATTTATAGATGCCTCTCATAATATACGTGCCGTCATATTTTTGTCCAGAATAGATTTAATCGAAATTTCTTTTCCATTCAAGAAATTGCGAATTCAGTTCTTTAAACCTTCGGAAGAATGATCTTTTGCAACAAAAAATTCTACAAATGTTTCTTTAATTATAATAATTATAAAATTTATGGATTCTGAATTGTCATCTTTTGATATATGAACATGCCTTAAAACGAAGCTCATTTTATCAGTTTTCGATATATCTTGAATAGTGTCTAATTTCAGGGAAGGTATTTTTTAACAGTAATTTTGAATGGTCATATTGCGGAAAGGAAGACAGTAACAGTAATTTTGAATCGTCATATTGCGGAATAATTTCAGTGTAAAAGGAAGATATATTTATCTGGTTCACGAAAATTGCTTCAAAATTACGTGCATGCTAGGGCTCTGGTATTTCAAAAGCTTGTTTCAATTTAACCTGCGACAGAAAGTTGCCTTGTAACAATTATTTATATCCTTACTGTGTCCGCGAAAAGCTAACGCATTTTTTGATCCCCTGAGTGTAGAGTTAAATAACCGTTCTTAAACCATTTTTCAAAGATTTA